TGTGAGCTAAATGCTCTTGTGACCCTCTCTGAACACACACTAAAAAGAGACCAGGGAATGTCAATACAGATTTCACTGAGCTTATTCTTTGCCACTCTTACAAGGAAAGCAGCTATTAGACACATAATATTCAGAGGACACACCTCCCTCAGAGGTTCCTACCTCTTGAACACATACTCATTTGCAGGCCAAGTTGCCTAGAAGTCTCTCGATTACCAGTTTGATTTGCATAGTTCTGAGTTACGTAAGGATGGGACCTGTGGCAAAGCTATCATTAAAGAGAAACAAAGCAGAAGACTGAACAAAGGATACATTCTGTGCAAAGTTTGAATTTTATACCATCTCAGCAATCCTTGTCATGGTAAAAAAAGGTGTCCACCCCTTCCCCCACCTAAAAAGAATAGCAGAGAGTGACAAAAGGAGGCTCCCTGGAGGTAATACGGGAGCAAAGAGTAGGGGAACTAAAAACTGTACACATGAAGAGAGAGAAGGGAGTTGGCATGGACACAGGAGATGCGGCCAAACACCCTGCCTTCACAGCAGAGATACGTGATTAAGTTGGAATCACTTTCACCTCTTTCCCAGGGTATGCAAGTAGGAATAGGTCAGGCTGGGGCAAAAGGAATGACATCTTGACGAGGCTCAGCTTTCCCAGGGGCCTAAGAAAGGTGGCAGTACAGCTAGAGCCAGAATATTCTCACTGGTCTTTTATATGAAATCTTGAATATCTACATTTACAGATTAAAATGTTTTCCAGTACACCAGAGAGAGAAAAGTCTTCTGAAGGCAGTAGAAATGACTTTAGTTCTCCAGTGGTTAAGAGTATAAGGGCTTAAGAGTGAGGAAAGCTAGTTTCAAATCTGGGGTACTTAACAGATTTATGGTAACGTTATTTAAATTTCTCTAAGTTTCAGTTTCCACATGTTAAAAAAATTATAATGCATATACCATTGAGCTCATAGTAAAGACTATATTACACATGTAAATTGTGTAACACATGTAGTGTCTGGCAAATAATTATTGACAATAAAATTTTTATTCAGTGAGGACTGTTATCCATTTCGTAACATTGTCTGGTCACCCATACCAAGCTCTGCCTTATTTTACGTCATTACTTTCTGTTCCGTCCCTGACATTCCACACTGTTTCAGCTTTGACCTACTTCCCCAGATACTATGGTATCTGTCTGCTTCAAAACTTCATGCTTCTGTGTTCTTTGAAAGGTCTACCTACAATTATTTGTAAATTCAGTGCTAACAGTGTGCAAATATTTTTAAATCATAAAAAAATACATGGCTTTTAGGAAATACTATTCTTGTCCTTGAACTCTGAAGGCACTCTTCATCTCTGATAATATTGACCCTGAGCCCAATTCACATTGAGTGAACAAGGTATTATTATTTTATACCCTCTTCCCAGGAGGTTAAAATGACTCACCAGAAGTCACTCGGTGATCTCAGATGAGGAATCCAGTGAATCAGTCTTGAAATCTTAATCTGAAATCTGCCAGGATCTCCATTTACTGAGAAAAAGTCAGCCTAGAGAAGATGATCCCCAGTAAATTTTATATTATGATATTACTTTTTTTTTTTTTTTTACCACATGCTTAAAATGTTTTCTGGATCTGGACTGGCCCTCTGCTTACCCACAGAATACAGGGAGAAAGCTGTGTAAGTTCCCTTCTCAACAGTTAAAGCAGTCCTTGTCACCAAAACTATCATATGTTAGATCACATGTCAGTGTCTGTGACATAGTCAGGCCTTGGCTTCTCAGGATCCACTCATTACAAGTGAATTTATGTGCCTTGAAGCATATGGCCTTGATATATGATCCCAGAGCAAAAGAGCAAGGTATTTCAAGCTGGCCACAATTTTATTGACTCTCACAGGCTTGCTTTGTAGTCATTCCAATAAACTAGACGAGAAATTCCTGATGCTCCAAGCTATCCAGTCTACAGGACTCCCATTTCATGATTCAGAGTCCAACTAAACAACTCGAGTGCTTTTGTGTGACACTGTGACCACAGGAATAAATAATTGCTTAGTAATTTTCTTTGAGGCAGAAAATTCTAAACATGGAGGAACCATTTCCCCTTAATGGGAGCCAGAAATCCTGTAAGTGCTTGAAATGGCATTCACAAGTCTGAATGGTAAACAGATAAAAACAGGAGCGCACCAGTTGCACAAATGACTTGCTTGTCACAAACTTGTCATTGCAGTAATCTAACATTTCTTTCCCAGAGCCCGATGGAAACGATGGAACAAACAGGCCCTGCTGACGTTTTGGCTCTGCTAAGCCTTCCTCGGAGCTAAAGCATCTGCAGCATCTTCCTGTTCTAGACCCTTTATCTGTTGAAGTTAGCTGATACTGTACATGTCAAAGAAATGTTTGACTATTGCATTAACAAGTTGATGACAAGCAAGTTATTCCTGCAACTGAAATACTGCTGCTGTTAGTGGGCTGCCATCTTGACCTTCATCTTCTCCTACAGAAGAACCCTGACAGAGCGGAGCACTAGGGAGATACCAGTATTGTTGCCCTCGGCTGTACAGATAAACAAGGACCACCTGTTTGGAACTTAGGCACAGCGGTATTGGGGACACACCAGGCAATTCCATTCGGGTTATGGATAGGATTTCCTGGTAAAACATAAACGTTGCCAACACATTGCACTGTCCCAAGGATTCTCTTGCTGGAATAAAGGGAGCTGCACAGAAATTCATTTCCTACTGTACCTCCTCTATTACCCACACACGTGGGGGGGACCCATATATACTTTATAAAATGTTAATAGCTGGGAAAGTTAATGAAAAGTATATACCAGCTTTCAAACCTCGTTTTTGCCAGTTCTTGGAGTTCCTCCCATCAGTAGCTTCTCTCCTAGCCTCCTCCTCATTCAGGATAGCATCTGGAACTCTCTAGACCTAGTCAGAGCCATGCTCTTGTCCATGAAAAGTCAGGTGGGTCCATTAGCCTCCTCACAGAAACCTTCCACAGCCCTCTCTAAGACACCACCACTTCATCTCCAACCTCAGCTGCCAGTAGGGAGTGCTCATACACTGTACAACTTCCAATTCTTGCCTTGCTGTTTGAGTAGCCCTCCTCCCTTGGGGGACCCATCCTTGGTGTTCCTTGAGTGTGCAGTGTGGTGGGTCCCAGGCTATCAGCATACAGAGCTGAGCTGGAGCCTGTAACAGGAGCCTGGCCTGTTGTGCCAGAGTATTGTGTCTCTGCTGGTGCCCTGGGCGTATCAGCCCTGGGAACAATGGAGCCTTCACCCTCAGACTTGGCCTTTGCATAAAGCTAGGCGTCTCTTACTCATCAAGGTGTCAGGTGCCCTGTATTTTTTTAGACCCTCAGTTAAAGGTACATTGATATTGTCTTGTCTGGTTTAAATATAGACGAGAAAAACTTGCATTCTCAGACTTATTTTCTCCTGTTGCCTCAGGTGCTTTCATTTTTAAAAGTCTTGGGTAAAAATGGTTATCATCATTCAGCCATGAGAACCCATATTTCTTGCCAAAGTAGTGACTGGGCTTACCTTTCTTTTAGATTTGGTGAACTGACCACAGTGCTGTCTCCCAGATGAAATGTTCTACTCCCATTCCAAATATCTCACACTGCAATCTATACCTCTGCTTTGTTACCTCAGAAGACAGGTGGGAAGGGTATGAGAGAGGGTCCTGTTTTTTCCACAGTTAAGGATACTACCCCTGGAAAAGGAGGTGAAGGTAGTTTGAGGTAGGACACCTATATTTTCTGTAAAAGAACACATGTAAATGAACTATTGGAATTTTAAATGGAATTCTAGTTACTTTTTCTTTTTAAAGTTCCTAATAGGATTTCTGTAATGATTTTGTGTTTTATTTTTTTAATAGAACTTAAATGGCAAAGAAATAATATGCTATTTTTGATTCAGGAAAAAAATAAATAAAAGTCTTTTTTTATGGGAACTCTCTTTTTAAATACATGTTAGGGAATAGATAATGGCACCAACAATAAAAAATGTTCTCTCTTCCTAGTCTGAGGGATAGCTGATTAGTGTATGTGTATGTGTTTTTAATATGTATTTACTTATTTGATTATTTATTTTAAGAAAGAAAGGAAGGAAGAGAGAAAAGAAAAATTCTTATGCTAGAGTAATCTCATTAGATTCATAGGGTTTTAGGGCTGGAAAGGAACTCAGTGATAGTCTATGACTTTGTATCACACTCACGCTTGAGAAATGTGGATACTGAGACCCAGAGATGTTTAATAATGTGAACAAAGATATACAACAAGATTGTGGCAGAGCTAGGCCTAAAAATTTCTTTTAAACAAACAGTGTCATTTGAATAATTCACAATGATGTACTTAAGTCTAACGGGGCATTTGTTTTTGGAATAACTGGGGTTGTGCCCTGGCTAAGCCAATTTAGGGATATACATTTGAATAGTTTGGAGACATTTCTTCCTAAGCTGTAGTTTATCTGAGTCACATAAGAAACCATTACAATTTCAATTAAATGTTGTCTCTTATAAGATTTCAAAGAAACACTTACCCCATTCCCATTTTGGCGCCTGGAAACATTTTTTTTTTATTTTATTATGTTATGTTAGTCACCAGACAAAACATATATTTTTAAATGGGTCTGTTCCTTTAATAAGTATTCGTTTAAGTAGGTCATATTCTAACATTCTTGAATATAAAAAATCTTTTATCAGATTAAAAGAAATCTGGTTTTTATTCCCACTTTTAGCCACGTTTGAGTTGTTCCTTGTTAATTGTCAGTTTCAACAAAACACTGATTAAGTTAAAACATCAATGTTTTTGTTCATTTTAGTTCTTTTAGTTTAGCACAAGGGAAAAATAAAAAATGCATTTACCTTTTTGCAGCCATGATAGTTACATACTCTATTTTTCATTTATGCAAAACTTTGTTTTTGAGGGTTTTCTTTTTGTTTCATTTCTCTGTTTTTGCATTTTCCAAACATCTGTACCGTGGCTGGTGGCGAGAGTAGCAGTGGCTGACACTTTTCCTCCACGCTTTGAGAGGAAGAGAATTGGCTGGAATAAAACCTTGCCTTCCACATGGTCGACTTGAAATACAGCATTGAAAAGGTATCGTCTCTTTTTTCTTTTCTGAAACCAGAGGTGAAATGCATGAGCAAATAGCAATGTTGATGCCCAACCACCTGTTGATTCATATCAGAAAAGTCCTTGGCAAGGCACCCCCCACTTCATCTTTTGAAACCCTGACTAGATGATTTCTGTGCATTCGTAGCATCATATCAACAATATGTACTGCTGGTGACTCACTTAAGAAAGCCTAGATTCTACACGTAGTCAAGAGATGAATTGAAAGTTTTGCTTTTGCTTTGACAAAACAAACACTTTTTAAGTATGTTTGGCTGTGAAGTGTTTGCTGATTCCTGAAGTATTGGGATCTATTGTCAGGGACAGTGAAAAGAAGGTGACACTAGAGCTTCCTTTCACCTTGATTAATTCTAGTTAGGAAGAGCTGTAGTCTTTGTCTTATCAATTATTTTAAAATAAAATATTTCAAGCACATAAAAATATAAAGAATAATGTGAACACAAAAGAATCCACACCCAAATTAAACAAATATTTGGCACACTTATTTCTAAACCTGTTTTTTGTCTTTTATTATTCTAAGTTACATAAAATGATGTACACAAATTAAGTATATAGCTTGATGAGCTTTTACATAAGTATATATCCATGTGACAACACCCAGTCCAAGATACAAAACATTCACAATACCTTGGAAGCGTCCCTTGTGCCCTCTTGAGTGTGATATTCTCCAAACCTTTAACAAAAGGTTAAAAACAAGCAAAACTATTCTGACTTCTATCATTATGAATTAGTTTTACATAAGCCAATAGCCATAGTATGGCTTATATAAAATGTATTCTACTATAGATATCACTAAAATCTGTTTGTTGAGTCTCTTATTGTTAGACGTTATTTCTAGTATTTCCCAATCACAACTAATACTGCAGTTAACATTTTTATACATGTTTTTAAATGGAGGAGGAGTTGCTTAACTATAAGAAACATGCATTTTCAATTTCACTAGGAATGTAAAATTTCTCTCCAAAGGGGTAGTAGCAATTTATACTCATTAGCCATTGTGAGAACTTCTCCACATACTTCATAACATTGGGGATGGTTAGACTTTTACATTTTTTGTCAATTTGATAGGTATTAAATAATATCTCATTTAATTTTTTTTCTTTTTTTTTTTTACTTATAAACCATTGGGATTTCTTTGTGTACGTTGCCTGTTTGTATCTTTACCTGTCATTCTGTTAGGTCATTTGTTTTGCTATTGTTATTTGGACCGGTTTGGGTTTTGGTTTTGGTTTTGGTTGTAGTGTTCTGGATTCTCGTCCTTTGGGCAATAGAGATTACAAATATATTTTCTTAATCTGTGTCTGTAGTAGCTTATTTTGGAAAAGTTTCTAATTTTAATACAGTTAAGTTATTGATATTTTAACCTTTATAGTTTGTGCTGGGACACCTGACTGGTTCAGTCAGTAGAGCATGCAACTCTTCATCTCGGGGTAGTGAGTTCCAGCCCCATGCTATGTATGAAACCTACTTAAAAACACACACACACACAGGTATATAATGCTTTTATGTCATTTAAGAAATCCTTCCATATGACAGCCTTCCTTTATTTTCTTCATTCCTTTATTTTCTTCTAACAGTTTAAAAGTTTGGCCTTGTACATTTTGATCTCTAAACTTCTTGGCATTTATTTTTGTATGTGATATCTTACATGTACCCTATTTTATTCTTTTTCCTGGGATAATCCAATTATCCCAGCACCATTTAACAAGTTAGCCATCCTTACCCACTAATTTGTAATGCCATCTTTTGCCTACATTAAATGTTTCTTAGGATCTTTATTTCAACCAATAAACTGTTTCTCTATTTTTGTGCTGACACCACAGTGCCTTAATTATCATAACTTTATAATATTCTTGCTGTCTGATAAGGCAAATCTCTCTACATTGTTCTTTAAAACTCTCTTGACTCCCCTTGCCTTCTGCTATTCAGTATAAATTTAGGATTAGTTGGTCAAGTTTTACAAAAGCCTTGCTGAATTTTATTTGTAATTACATTAACTTTAGAGAATAATCTGGAGGAGAATTGACATTTTTTTAAAATTGTGTCTTTCTACCCATTAACAGACTATATTCCTCTACTAAATCAGATCTTCCTTCATGTTCTTTAATAATGTTTTATAAGTTTTACCACAAAGGTCTTGCTAGAAGCTATTTTGTTAGATTTCTTCTCGTATTACTTAGATTTTTGTTCTTTCATGTGTAGATTCTGTTTTCCTTTTCATTGTTTATTGGTCATTATTGGTATATATTTAGCAACTTTGCTGAACTCTCTTATTAGTTCTAATAACTAAACTGAAAATTCTCTTAGATTTTTTACATAGGCATGTATATCATCTGTAAATAATGACAGCTTCTCTCTTAAATTCTAGTTGTGTTCAATTTCTTTTTCCTGTCATATTGCATGACTAAGAACTCTATATAGTATTGAATAAAAGCAATGATATTATGAATACCTGTTCTATTTCTTACTTTAATGGTAATTTGGTGAACATGACTTTTGCTTAGCATTTTGATAAATCGAAATTATTGTGTTAAGGAAGTTTCCACCATCTATTTATACTTTGCAATGCATTTTTAATCAGGAATACCAGTCAAATTTTATCCAATGCATTTTCTGCATCAATAATATGATAAAATTACCCATTAATATGGGAATATTTTACATGATATTAATACATTTCCTGATATTAAACATTTCTTACATTCCTGGAGAAAAACTTTAGTTGGTCCTGGTGTGTTTTTTTTAATCCACTGTTGAGTTTAATTTGCTGATATTTTATGTAATATGTTTGTACAGGGAGATTAGTTTTTAATTTTCCTTTCTTAAACTGTTATTGTAGAGTTTTGGTGTCATGGTGATATTAGCCTCATAAAATAAGTTTAGCAACATTCATTTCTTTCTTTTTCTTTTCTATTTCTGAAATAGCAGTCATATTAATAGGATTACCTATTCTGAAAATGTTGTTAAACTTGCCTGAAAAATCATCTGGACCTGATATTTTCTGTCCATAGTGGGAAGGTAGAGTAGGGTGGACTTCTGATTATCAGTTCAATTTCTTCCATGATTATTGGTTTATTCAAATGTTCTATTTCATCTTAAGTCAATTTTAATACTTTTTTAAAAGAAAAATATACAATTAACAGTTAATCTACACTTTCAAACTTACTGCATAAAATTGTTCATAATGGTCTCATGATTTTTAATTTTATCTTCAATAGGCCCCTCTCTTATTCCCAATATTATTTATCTGAGCCTTTTTTCTTACTCATTGTTAGACATTTTTCTGTTTCATTTACTTTTTTTAAAACCTGTCTTTTGATTTTGTTTATCTACTTTATTGTGTGTTTGTATTCTATATCATTACTTTGTGCTTTATCAACATTATTTTTTTCAGGCTACTTTCTTATAGTTTAGACCATTTTTCTTTTTCTAGATTCCTGTGTTAAATTAATACTCATTTAATTTCGATGCTTTTTCTTATTTTCAAAGATGAATTTTACTCTCTAAGTTTTCTTCCAAGTTTTTCATTAGCTGCATAGCTTGTTTTAATTTGTAGTTTTGTTCAATTTTAAATATTTTATAATGTCTGCTTGATTTATTTTTAACCCTTGGGTTGCTCAAAAGTATGTTTTTACTTTCTAAACATAAATTTACTCTATTTTTATTACTGATCCAGAATTTAATTGCATTATAATGAGAGGATGTGTTTTATATGGGTTCAATTAAATTTATTTTTAGTTTCTTTGTGACCTGTGACATGGATTTTACTGTTGACTTGAAATCTGTAGGTGGCTTATCTATTTCTCTAGTGCTCATATTAAAATTTTTATATGTATACCTTACTATATATTTTTCTAATAAAAAATAATCCACCTTTTAGTATTTCTGGCTTTCTCCTTAATATAAAAAAAGTGCCTAGCATGTTTTACCTATTTACTAATTATCAATCTGTTATAATAATTGAATGGAGTTTTAGTTTTGTCTATTTGTTTTAAAACATATGCAAAAGTGGTTATCATTGATTTTAATAGTTAATGCCTAATTATATTTACTCATATATTTAAGCTATTGCTGTGTCCACCCTTATTCTTGGATGATATGGCTTCCTTTCTGGGTTCACTTTTCTTCATGTTGAATTACATCTTTTAGTAATTCTTTTGGGAGAGTCCTGGGAAGTATGCTCTTTTTATATATCTAAAAATGTTTTTATTTTATCATTTATCTTAAATGGCAATTTATCTGGGTTTTTTTGTTCAGCAGTTGAGGATATTACTCAATCTTACACAGTTGTTCTTTAACTATCATTACTTAAGAGAAATCTGCTGTCAATCTAGTTTTCATCTCGTTGTAGGTAGTCTGCCTTTTCCCTCTGGTGACTTTTAAAAGTTTTTCTGTATCCTTGATGTCTTATAGTTTCTCTCAAATGTGTCTAGATATGGATTTATTTTGAATTATCAGTCATGAACTCAGGGTTTACTTTCTAATCTCAGGTCTCTAATGCTAGAAAATTCTCAGTTATTATCTTTTCTTTTATTGTTTCTTTGTTATTACCTCCATTTTCTTCAGGGATTCTTATAAGATATATATTGGTGTTTCCTAGTCAATTTACATATCTCAATTGCTCTTTCATTTTCTAAAAATATATTTTACTTTCTGTGATTTTTTTTCTGAGTGCATTCCTTAATATTACCTTCCAACTCACTAATACCCTCTTTGAAATTGCCCAATCTTAAACTATCCTATTTCATTTTTAATGTCAATGAACATATTTTTCATTTTTAAGATTTCTGATTGGTTCTTTATTCACCTATTCTTATCTTTTTGTTCTCTGTTGTTATTTAATAATTTCTTATTCTAAGTATGATTTTTTTTTATCTCTGAGCATTACAAACATATTCATGTTGAGGTCATTTTCAGACAATTCTATAAAATCAAATTCACATGTAGTGAATGTTCTAATTATT